AATCGTCCCCGTACCAGGAGGTCTATTTCGCAAAGCGCACATCGACACAATGAAGATGCCCAGAGCGGGCGGATATGAATACCTCATGCAAGCGCGATGCATGCTAATGTCGTATCCAGAATGGCGCATGCTGCACAAAGAAAATACTAACGCGCTAACCGCTTTTATTTTCGAGGAGCTCTTGTGTAGGTGGGGCCCGATCACAGAGATAGTAACGGACAACGCGCCCGCATATAGGCTCGCAGTAGACGAACTCACGCGCAAATACGGGATTCACCCGATCCGCATCTTGCCATATAATTCTCAGGCAAACGGTATAGTCGAAAGACGACACTGCGATGTCCAGGAGGCCATCATTAAAAGCTGCGACGGAGATGATTCTCGCTGGTATCAGGTAGTCCATTCAGTTTTCTGGGCCGAGCGCGTCACCATTCATAAAGCGACGGATTTATTGCCCTATTTCATGATGCACAGCGTCGAGCCAATATTTCCCTTTGATCTTGCAGAAGCGATGTTCCTCGTGCCCTTACCAAGCCGAGGCGCGTTCACCACTACTGACCTTATAGCATGGCGCGCGCGCCAAGTGCAGAAGCGCGTAGAGGATATTAACACGATTAGGGATAAAGTAGTCACGGCGCTGTAGAGACTCGTGCATCTCATGGTCTGATATGGTGCTTTACACTAGGAAGTACATAGCACGAACTTGTAGCGTCACTCTGTGCACTACCCACAGCTATCTCTATATGACGCGCAGCTTTCCCGCGCAATGCGCGCACCATTCCCGCGCTTCGCGATGTATACGCACACGCGCATTCCTGCGCTTGCGCGCCCTATGGCGCCAGCCATCCAGAAGCATCCATCCACTGTCCACCAAGCTCCCTAGTACGTATATTTCCATTTCCTTTATTAGCATAGTTCCACCTTTATTTTTATCATGGATTCTCACTCATATATATCTTTACATACCTACTTGGTAGCGCTTCGGCTCTGCATGACCGCGCTTAGGCGCGCTATATAAGCGCCAGCAGTACATACTATTAAAAAAACCTTACTTTTACCTCCCAATTACTAGTTATCACCTACTTACTACTTAGCAGAATATAGTAGAAGTCTATTTGTCTATACTTCACATCTCCCTTCTCTTTTCTTGCATTATATTATCACTTGAGTCTAGTCTTTATCATTTTCCGCATATGCGCGCGTGTTCCCACGCCTTGTGCGCACCTGCGCTTTCTCGTGCTTCGCTGAAGCGCGTACCTCTAGATCTTGGCTGCACTCGCTTCCCTTTAGGGTTGAACGCACTTGTCTCCTCAAGTAACGCAGGCTAGGCAATGCACGACCTTCAACTATTATAGATACAGCTAGGAGCAATATTTGTTCCTCTCTGTATTGTTGTTTCTACAGCGCGCTACAAGTCCATACACGATTTTGAAAGATGCTTCCGCGCGTCTATCAAATCGCACGACTTCGAACCCGGCGCCTTAGTATTGGTACACAACTCAAAGGTCGAATACGAACTGAGCAAGAAGACGAAGCCACACTATTTGGGACCTATGATCGTAGTGCGCCGCACGAAGGGAGGTTCATATATGTTGGCCGAGTTGGACGGTGCAATCTCAAAACTCCGGTTTGCCGCGTTTTGCATCATCCCTTACTACCCACGTAGCAAGGAGCACGTATCGGTAACCCAAATGACTGGAGTAGACGACGAGAGCATCGACGAACTAGAAGCGTATGAAACCGTAGAACCCGATGAAGACGAGCCCGAGCGCGCGCGACCATATTCCCCACCCCGCGCATCACTCAATCATATTCGCACGAACGCGCATTCCTCAAAAACATAAAAACAAAAACACCAGATAATACGAAGAACACAAAAATATTCCATTAAGTACATACTCTCAGTTTTACCCCGGGTTTCGTCCGGTGATATCTCTCATCTCATTTGTTCATATAACGCGCATTGCCTGCACATAAACCCCACAGACTCTAGAATATATCAAATACACCAAGAAACACTCTAATACCCCGCAAGTACATACTAATCACTACCTTATTTGTATAGCGCACGCATAATCACCTCATTAGACTTTCACTTTCTAACGCACGCGCGGCGCCGTGCACTTTTTTTTCTAACTTTCATTCAAGTGCGCGCACGGCGCAACAAGGCAGGCATAGATGATAGAAGGCGTGCGAAGAAGACAAGACGGGCGCGCACCCCGCAGAAAATTCAGTAAAGTCCATCACATTACCTTGATCTCATCACGCGCTTGTCACTTACTTACATACTTATAATTCTAATTTCTTAAGCCCAGTGAATCAGATGAGGACATGGACATGGACATAGAACAAGACAACACAGGGATTATTATACAGGCACATTGGCACTCAGAAGGAGTACACAGGCACATTGGCGCTTAGGAGACAAGAAAAACAAAAGAGAGGTGCATCTACTTAAGGGAGTCATTGATCTGCCTCTCCAATTCAGCCCACACGTTGGACATAGCGAAAAACTTGTTGGAATAGTTGAGGAGGTCCGCCTGTTGGGCGCGCGCATACTGGTGCATCTGGAGAGTGGAAGTGCGCAAGTGCGCATTTTCCTCCTTCAAACGCGCGCCTCTTTCAACTCCGCCGCTGGATCCTTGAACTTGTCCTTTCCCTTAGGCGCAGAACCAGACGCCAAAGGACCAACGGCGTGCACAGGAATATCGCGCAAGGTGCGCACGACCTTCTCCTCCACAGAGCGCTCTCCAACGATCTCCACATCCATCTCAGACTCCTCAGATTCTTCTTCATCCTCAACAGCAATGGAGGAAGCGGTCTCCTTTGCAGACTCAGCAATAGGGCGCTTAGGCATCGGTTTGTGCGGGCGCGCCTTAGGGCATCAGTAATGTTGCACTTAGCTAATCCACAGCAGTCAGTGGCGCGCACCAACAATAGACAAGAGGCGCGACTTACAGAAAGTGCAAGCGCGCTTGGAAACATCACAAGGAGGGCACCGGCGTCCAGGCACACCTCCACAGTCTATGTCCTTGGCAATGCAGGCGCCACAGCGCCGCGCCTTGACCATAGGCATGCGCCCGACGCGCGGCTAGCGCAACCAGACATGTTAATAGAGTGGCGCACCAACAGGAAACAGAAGACACACCTTCTTGCTGACATCAGTACCAGACGCGTCAGTGGCGCGCGCCTCGACTTTGGACGCACCAGTGGCGCACGCAGCTTGCATAGGAGGCGCCGGTGGAACTGAGGCAATCGCCTTCGCCTTCCAGTCCTTCACGACCGCCTCAATCTCCTTACAACTCTTCCGTCCCTGCTTTAACGACTCCGCGCTCTTGTCATCCATCTCCAGCGCCAACGCCAACACACCCGTGCACATGGAACAACCGTTCAAGGTGGCCTAGGAATGTCAGTCCACAATAGACAAATACATGTAAGCGCACTCACCAGCACTGAATACCACTTGTGCAACCACATCTCTTGATCCTCAAGGAGTTCCGGCTTGAGATCAGGCACGGACATCACACATCCTTCCAAAGAGACCAGAATGGAGGCCCAAGCGACAAGGAGGCGGTCAGCATCGGATTCCGCGCTAGCGTCACCCATAGTCGCGTCCTCAGGAGGCCCTTGCGCCACTGGAACAGGCTCAGGGGAAGGAGTGGCGTTCAACATAGCAACATTGAAAGTAGGCATGATGAGAGATTGATAAGGAAGAAGTCAAGAGATCGCGAGAACGCGTCCATCTTCTTATCAACATCTCCTCCGATTACATCATCGATGCTCGCGATCATCAAAGGACGACCCTACTCTCGTGATCACCTGATCCCTGTCTATCATCACCTCTCTAAGTCCAAGATCCCGCGCTATAACACTGAGTGGGGACACTCAGAATGTAAGTCCCCAGGAGATGTAGAGACTCGCACGTCTCAATGCCGAATATCCGGCCTTTACCCATACATTCCTATATGCTACAGCTCTAATCCTAAGGACCAGTCTCGCGCGCGCCTTATCCTTACTTGCACGCACTTAGGCGCGCCTTATCCATACTCGCACGCACTTAGGCGCGCCTTACCTGCGCAAGCGCTATGTGCGCTTCGCGTGCCTTCTCCTAGGTCTTCGCGCTATTGTCCGTCCATTCGTTCCATGTCCTTACTGATTCGCTGGTGCATTATTCCTATCTTGTCCATTGAACTAATAAAATCTTTGGTCCGACGTCCGCGCTACATATAGAAAGTCTATTTAAACTTAGTTATAATTAGAGTTGATATGGTTACTCGGTTCGGGAGCGCGCCACTTAGCGTAATCTCCATTCTTAAATACAGAAGGGTTTCCTTTGGTTCTGGTACTTACTTTTCCCTTATCTTTGTGTACTGGAAAGTGTATAGATCACCTCCTCTCTTGTTATAAGATCTTATTCTCCTATCAATCATCCATCTGGGCATTCACTCCTCAATAGGACCTTTCCCTTAAACGCTCAAGGCGCGCCTTCGCTTCGCACGCGCGCATTCTCGAACCTCCCGCTCACGCGTGTATCTTGCGTGCCTTTGCCTCACATACGCACGCCTTCGCGTGCGTTATCTTCTTGCGCCTGTTAGCGCCCGCCTAGCTCATAGAGTTTCCCTCCACTTTATTTCGAGGAACTTCTCTCAGTGGTTGTCCCTTGGGTCGAGTCGTTGTCTCGTATCCCGGTCTTGCTGTTGAGCACCCTTTTGTTTTAAGTGTTTTCACGTATAGTCAAGATTCCTCATCTACACCGGCTCAAGTTTCATCATTTGCTTCCTTGTCTTTGTATATATGCTGGCATGGAGGGAGACTGCCTGCTGCACCGACGTCACCTGGGACCAAGCTCGAGTTTTCAGGGCCTGGGATTTGGCCTGCCTAGCAGTTGTTTGGAACAGGATGGCCTTGTTGCAAAGTTAAATGCGGAGATTGTGAAGGGCATCATTGGCCTGCCCTTCACGAAGTGACATCTCCAGGGGAATCAGATCCTCTGCCATGCATCATCTGCATCTATCAACCTCCAGGTTCAATGGCAATGGGATTACAGTGAGCTCGGGAGAGTTTGTCCATGTATGAGATGTCTCTGTGAAATCTGCCAGGTCATCATCGAGATCATCTAGAATGTCTACATCCAAGTCCTCAGGTTCATAATCTGCATTAAATCCCTCCCTGAGATGTGTTAGAGCAGACCGAGCAAATCCATCTATCTGGCCTTGGAGCCGATCCCATTGACGGGCGATGTCTAATCTCTGTGTCTCAGTGGATCTTCTTCCGATCCTTCGGACCTCGATGAGCAATGCAATCTGAGCTTCTTCAATTACTAACCCTGTTGATATCCATGTTGCCACAGATCTGCGAGAGGGTGCTGCATTGCGGGCGTTACCCTCCTCTAACAATCTAAGCTTGATCTCCTTTTTGCTAGGTGCTGAGTGCAATATTAATTCAGACCTCGATGGAGACAATGGAGCTCAATGTACCCTTTTTGATATTGATCTCATATTCATCCATGGCTGAAGGATCATTCAATCTGCTTGACTGAGCTATCCTCTCCCTGGCTAACCATTCTGTCTTCAAATGTGAGGGTGCTGCTTCATTGAGTCTGTTGAATGCCTTTCCACTTTCCAAGATGCCATTCCTAGCCAGTTTGTATTTCCGGCATAGAGTCCTTTTCATGCGAATCATCTTGCAGAAATTGGAGTCATTCATCTGATAATCAAGGCATTCCTTTCGGTGGGGAGATGACATTTCCTGAGCAGCAGGGGAGATCATATTGAGCCATGCCCATAGCATCTCCATTATCTCTCCATCGATCTGACCAATGCCTTCAATAAAGTTAGAAGCATATCGGACATAGCAGCTGTCCTCATGGCCATGAACGTGCCACAACCCAATTCCAGGAATGATGGTTAGTTGTGGTGCCATTTCTAGAAATCGACTTCAATCCACCCAAACCCGAAAGTGTTTGTTGTATTGACAATTAATATCATAGAAGGTGACAGCCCTGGTGATGCCTTCCATGTTGTGCCAGGAAGCCTCACAAAGGGCGTAGTCCATGTTCATTTGTCTGCAAGTGACCCATGGTTAACTCATGAATGGGGAATGGTGGATGTGGCTTGCCTTTTGCCTTTCTGAAAATCCACCATGGAGTGAGAGACAAAGCAACCGTGTCTGGCACAGGCAACTCCTCCGATACCGGTGGATTCCAGCTTGTGCCAATGTGTCGGTAGGGGTTATACAGGTGCTAGGACAGAGGCTGGTAGGCAGGAAGTGCCAGAGGTCTCAGGGGTAGTAGAGGTGTCAGAGGTCTTGGTTGAGTCTTAGCAGTAGAGCATGTGGCTTGTAGTCTGTACTCCAACCACGAGCAGTGTCCTTGTGTTTGCTTGTCACCTGTTCGTCGTACCAACTCACCTGGTGACTAGAGCGAGCGCGCCTTGTGCCTCATCACGCCAGAAGCCAACAAGCTCGTTTTTAGATTTGTCTTTCTCTTTTTTTCTTCTTCTTTTCCTTTCTCTTCCTTTAAGTTTCTTACTGCAGAATTTTCATCATGGCTCTCACTATAGCAGATGTGGCAAGACTACGTAGTCTAATCCCGGACCTGCCCAAAATTCTATTCAGCCCTCGTAGAAGAGCATCCGACTCATCATTAATAGTACACATAGCCTCCCCTCCGGAAGAACTCGGGTCAGCGATAGGACCTAATATAAGGCATATACGCACCAAGCACGCAGTCAGCCAGTTACAGCCAGCCAATCAGACCCAGGTCCAAACCACCACAGTACTCCCTCAGCAAACTCACCAGTCGCCTATGGCAGCAGTACCAGTACTACCGCTACTACGAGCAGATTATGTTGGTGGAGAAGAACCCAACGAGTGGATGCATCAGCTCGACCTGAACCTACCTACTATGTGGAACGATGCACAGAAGGTCGAACAGTTTCGTCGGCAATGTGCCCCAGGCAGCTTAGCGGAGGCATGATACACTACGCTGACACCAGCTCAGACAGCCACATGGTCCGACTTAGAAACTGTGTTTCTCATATGCTGGCCGCCAGCCCTTCCGTTGCAGCTAACGGCAGCTCAGAAGAAGGAACGGTTGAAGGCAGTAGTATTGAAGGAGGCGGAGATTGGGACGATGTTAGACGATGAGAAAGGGCAAGAGTGGGGACATGTGAGATGGGCAAGACAGGTACAACGGCTGGCACAGAGTTTCGGAGACAACAACTGTCAGTTTTTGGACGTGGTACTCGATGGGATGCCAGACTTGTTACGTGACCACTTATCGGACACGTATACTGATTGGGCAGTGTTTCTCGCGGGAGTCAACAGTGTATCTATCAACCAGCTCGCCAGAGCAAGGTTACGAGCAGCCGAAGAATGAACAATGAGGGAGGATATCGCACAACTGAAGGCCAGACTACCGCCTCAGCAACAAGCACCACCAACCCGTTCCTATCCCACAAATCCGCCAGCATACAGACCCTATCCCCAGACGTTCAACAATGCAACCACTATCCCAGTGACACAAGCACCTGCCATGACGGTACAGCAACCTACCAATCAGAGTCAACCAAACCTTGTCTCCACAGTCCCATACCAAATGCCAATGTACCAACCCCAGCCAGTAACACCTGGGCAAAATCCGTTCACAACGGCAGGAGCAGTACCTAGTACCAACCTCTTCTACCGCTACCAACAATTCCCGCAGACCCCATCCCGTCCAAATGCCACAGATCGCATCCGTATGGCAGCCCAATACTCAACGCTTCAGCATCACCAAGATTCAGACACGGGCCGGGCAGCATACAACCAACAGGTGAAGGAGTGGCATGACAAGCATGGTACAGATGCCATGCCTCACACTGGGCATCCCTACCCCTTAAGACCAGGTTCCGCACCTTTGGGATCACGGGAATGTTTCACGTGCGGATTAGTGACCACCCCATCGCACCAAGCAGCTAGCTGTCCCCATCAACCAATGGTACCACAAGAAACTAAATGGCGTGAAATCATGTCTAGCATGGTAGGACGTGCTATCAGGGGACAGAACCCACCAACTACGCCATCAGCTGCAGTACAGTACGTAGCAACGGCGCCGATGAACTACTATGATCCGGGAGGGATGTACAACGCGTACCCAGTGGTATATGCAGAGCCGCAATATGAGTATCTGGGAAATGGAATGGGACTACAGCAATGAGGGGTAGCCCAGTAGTCCCATCCGAAGAGACAGTGGACATGGTCATGCCAGTCTCATTCGCCCCCTCCTCAGCATACATAGAAGATTACTGTCTCACCCCATCATCGGACATATCATCCGGATTCATTTCCCAGATGTCACCTGCAGTATCGACACTCCTCGACTCAGAACTAGTCTCTGAAGTACCCTCACCTGTTCCGTCAGCTGAAGACAACAACATAGTTACTGCTATCAACAACCCCGAATTATGCATTAAGTCCCCTTCCGTTTCATCATCTTCTGTCTTGTTAGAAAACGCGCTACCTGATACTTTCATTTTATTAGAAAAACCTAGTACTGCTGATATGTCCGTCTCAAGTGACATGGACACTGGCTCTCTTGATATAGTCTCACTCTTCCCCGATTCCAATTCCCTTAGTCCTATAACCGATCCTGCTGTACACGCTATGTCGTCCGATGTAATTGAACCCATTGACTTGTACTCGGTCGAGTCACGAACGGCACAGGCAGAAGGTCAGCCGTTCGTAACACAAGTTAACATGTACGGAGAAGATGGTAGCTCGTCGTGTTTTCACACGCATGTTGATGATGGAGCAATGATCAACGCGATCGATGCAGAAGCTTATCAGACAGCTTCTGGAAGAATGGGCGGACTTCTGCCATCAAAACACGTCCTTCGCATGGCCGACGGATCATTAGTTCCATCATTGGGTGTCTGGAAGGGAAAAATCAAATGGCGTACGGCAAAAGCCATAGTAACCTTCGAAGTCTTTCCAAGTGGAGGGACTTGGAAAGTCCTAATAGGCAAACCATTACTACAGCAACTCTGCGCAATCCATAACTACGCCAACGACGTCATCTCCCTACCAAGTACAAACTTGTCCAACCCCACGATCATTACGAACATGTTCAGAACACCGGCAGCCCGAGCCAAGCACCCAATCAGTCATAAAGCCACGGTCTCAGAAGAGCTCGAGAATGATGAACCTGTAGCCAAGACACCCAATCCACACGTAATGGTTGTTACAATCCCGCCAGATGCTATAGTACCAGAATCCCTTCCCTCATAACCCGTACAAATCGACAAACAATACATGTTCACATACAACTCAGATGTCAATGGAGCAGCTGTCATACAGCTATCAAATCAGCTGTCACAGGCCGGAGCACATATTGTACTAGCAGATCACAGACCCACGCTAACACCATCAAACTCAACCGACACTCATCAGTTGTCACCTTGCACACCGGTCCTGTTCACTGAAATGGCACCTGGAGACAACGAGATCGGGGAAGTACCCGAGTTTCCCCTACCTAGTGAAGATAGCCGGGGTATATATACACGACATACCAATGCGTTCAACCTGGTCCAAGTGAAGGAGATACTGAAGTTGGTAATGGTCGGAGAAGACTTGACGGAAGAGCAGAGAGAGAGAGTAAGAAGTTTTATTGCACAGTATGCAGACACGTTTGCACTCACGGTTAAGGAGGTATTTCCAGTCAATTTTAAGTCCTTCAAACTCACGTTTCCCGCAGGAGCAACATTTTCGACAAAAACTAACCAGAGGCCACTGACACCACTGCAACGTGAATACCTGTATGCAAGACTGAACAAGATGGAGTCAGCAGGAATTATTCGTAGAATCCCTCCGGAAGAGGTCAAGGCATCAGCACCAACCGTCCTAGCACAAAAGGCACATAGTGCAGCAAGCATTCCGATTGAAGAGCTGTGGCACCGGGTCAATGACCAGTGCGAGCAGCATGGATTTCCCATATGGGACGACCTACCACCACGACCCCCAGCAGTAGCAGAAACCAACCCCATCCAGACTGGTCCTAAATGGCGTATCTGTCAAAATTTCACCAAAATCAACAAAGCAAGTCAAATCCCACCGGTACCACAAGGAGACATCCAGGCCAAACAACAATGCCTGTCAGGACATCGATGGATCAGCATCATCGACTTCGCAGCAGGCTTCTACACGATACCTGTGGACAACGACACACAACCTTATCTCGCCTTTTACACCGAAGGACATGGATACGATTGCTATCGCAGGATGCCTTTCGGATTGACAGGAGCACCAACAACGTTCAGTGATATGGCAGCTACAGCGTTGAAGGATCAGATTGGACTACTGTATGAACTCTATGTAGATGACAACGGAATGGCAGGAGATGATTTTGAAGAGAAATTGGAATGACTAGGTAAGTTTTTCAACCGTGTTCGAGAAAAACGACTCTCACTTTCCCCACAGAAAACGCAGCTGTTCATGTCCGAAGTCGTGTTCGCGGGAGCACGAGTGGGCAAAGCTGGAGTACGACCAGACCTAGCCAAGCTATCAGCCGTCGCGGATTGGTCACCACCATGCACCTTGCACAACCTTATGCAGTTCTTAGGCCTCACCAGATACTTCAGGCCATTGATTAGAAACTACGCAAGGATAGCAGCACCACTCACGGACTTAGTACAAAAACTCGGAGTACCCCCGGAAGGACAACATGTTGGCAAACACAAGTACCGAGATCATCTTCGCAAAACGCTCTTAACGGCCTACTGGAAACATAACCACATGGACACGTTCCTACAACTCAAGAAAGCATTGTTGTCTGAATCGGTACTATGAGGGCCAAGATTCGATGGTACTCTGTTCATTGTAACTACAGACCGGTGCAAGGACGGCTTCGGAGCGATATTGGCACAACGGTTCACAACAGTACTACT